TATATATATAAAGATATGATTTTTATTCTAAAGTAATATTATCAATATAGAGAGTAATGTGATTACATTTTTATCATTTACCATTTAAATATTTAATGGTTAAAATTTAATTATAATTAAATTTTAGAAAACTTAAAAATTAAACAAATACATGTTGGCTAAATATTTAGAACAATAATCATCTATCATTGGGGTACTTCTGCCACTGCAACCACCACCTCCTCAACATCATTATCACTTTCACAACCATCATCACATCGTCATTATCACCATTGTCGTCGATATGTATCGCTACCACCAACATTGACAATGATAATGGTAGTAGTAATGAAGGTGAATATGGTGTTGATAGTGGTACTAGTGCAGTCGTGACATTGATGATGGTAACGACAATGATAACAATAGTTGTTTGCACATAATTTTATTTAACTATAAATATTTTAGAGGTTTGAAATTCTTTAAAAGAATGTTGTAACACCATGTTTTTCTTGATTATGTATATTTGAAATATATGAAATTAAGTGTGATGTCTTATCTTATGTTGCCTGTGTTGGGGTGAGAGATGGAGTTTAGATGACACGTAAACTTATGTTATGGAAGATATAATTTAAGTGCGTGAGAGTTTTCTTAAGGAAGACTAAGGTATATAAGACATATTTTGAGAAATGTACTTCATAAGTTCATATCTAAAGTGTTTAGAGAGAAGTTAGAGAAAAGGTCTTTCAAAATTTCAAGCTATTGTTCAAGCTTTTGGGAGACTCTAAGGTTGAGGATCTTCCCCCAAAGCTAAAAATTGGTGTAGGCTGAAGGAAAATTGTAGAGTTGAGATTCTTGATGATTAAAGCTAAAGGAGCTCTAATAGAGTTATAGAAGGAGTTTCTTCTACCTTAATTATAGCTTATATAGATTGTATAAGCGTAGTTGTTGTTACCTTGTGTTGAATTGATGGATGAATGTTGAGAATTGATAAGATATATTGGGTCTTGGTCTTCATTCTTTTAAGATGATATTGAATTATTGAGTTTGTACCCAAAGTGTTTATTGCATGTGGTTTTTGGTTGGATTCACGACGTAGATGTTATTTTGGTGAGCTTGGATGGTTTGCATGCTAAAATTAGAGAATATTGTTGGTGGATGCAAACACTATGAAGGTATCGCATTCTTACTTTGTAATATGATACTTGTTGAGTGGGTCTTCATAGTTTGTATACCAGAAACCCATATTTGGGTTTTTGCTCAGCAAGACAAGTCTTGCTCAACTAGTATTTTGGTTGAAACTCTACTTAACGAGAGAAGCTCACTTAGCGAGAGGGAGCCACAAAAGGTTTTGATCGCTCATCTTGTCATAGTTTGCTCAATGAGATGCCATAAAGGGATTTGATCACTAAGTGATAAGTGAAAATTTTATTTAAATGATTTAACTCTTTTGACACTTATATTACAATAGACTTGGTACACTTGTCACAAAATACCAACACTCAATGAGAATCTTGTTTTTCTCAGGAGGTGTCTATAAGGCTATGTAATGCATTGTTGATGACATCATGTCTAGGGGTCAAGTAAAAAAAAAAAACCAAGAGGAGTGTGTCAGGCTAAAAGGAAGAAGGCTCAAACACTTATTAAGCTTTGAGTCATTTTTAGTGAATTACTTTCTCTTCTTTGTGTATCTTTTTACTTGTAAATATTTTCTTAATTTTGACCTTTTATTTTTTGGTCAAATAGTGTTTGAATTTATTTCATTGTAATCTTTATTTTTAGGAATATAAATAGTATTTTCAGGGGAAATGTAACTAGAAATTAAGATATGGATTTATTGGGCTTGAATGACACATGAGAGTACATTTCCCATGAGGTTGGACATCCACTTGGGGGACATGTCTCATGGTCTTTCAAACTCCAACAAAGTTACATTGTCTTGTTTAGTCACACTTTTTGCACCTCGCTATGTGGCAAGTTTCTAGATCTAGGATATTGACACGAGTTACACTTCTTTCACTTTGTCATATGACAAGCTTCTATTGGCTCCTCTAGATCTATGATAATAACATTTTTAGTAGGGAAATTCAAATTCAAAATGTAACCACAATTAGTAGTCTTAAATATAAGTTGGCCTAACCTTGGTTACACTTAACCATGATTAGTTTAACTTGCACCACAAACTACCAAACTCTATATATTTGATTCTTCTTGTACCTAGACATCACTTTTGAGTTTATGAATAAAATTGGATTTCAATTTTCTCTCTCAAAAGCTTTAGTTCTCTCTTAAGAAAATCTACTCCTTAAGAAATTTTATTAAGGAATTTCTCCTTGTGACATATTCTTCATTTCTTGTTTACCTTCCCTTGGAAGTGACACATCCTCTTTCTTACCTTTCCACCATTTTTTGTTGAGCTTCTTGAAGCATGAGTTCCATGGGGTAAGAAGTATGAACTTTAATGGAGCTAGAATAAGAGAAACAAAATTCTTTTCCACTAGTTTCACCAACTCTTATGTTGGACTAAGAAGTGAATGTTGTTGTCCCTAAGAGGTTATGTTGTACTTGTTTCAACTAGGAATGAGTGTTGAGTTCCAAATAGCCTTGAGGGCTAGGAACAAAAGATTTTTTTTCTTTTTTCCAACGAAGTTTGGACCGTAGATGAAGTTGTTTATAGTATGTTGTTGATGTGTTGATGATGATTGCAGGAATTTATGTATGATAGCTATGGTGGGGATATGTTTCGACAACTTTTACACTCTCCCTAGGGAGTTCTTCAATTAGAGAGAAAAATAAAGAGAGTGAGCTTTTTAAACATAAAAAAATTGATGTCCTAACCCTTTTTAAAATTTCCCAACCAAACCTCCAACTCTCAAGTTAATAGATCAATCCTAGTCAAAACATGTCTCATTCCTTTAATTAATCAAAAACATTTAAACATAATCCCTAAAATACTTCTCGTATAGTATAATTAATATAATATTGAAAAAATCCTTCTTTACATTAAATTAAATTAAAACATATTTTAATATTTTTAGAAACTTGAGATTGTTACATGAAGTAATTTAAGGATGGATAACCGACATGGAAGATTCCCAAGAAAGTTTGCGAATGAAGACAACACACATAATAGTTTTGTATTAGTTGGTAGGAATATTTTTTTAAAAAAAAATTGTCTTAAAAGTTATTGCATGTATAGAAAAAGGTAACCCTTGGAGGGTTGTTATCGGTGATGGATTATGACAATGAAGAGTTGAGTGAAATATTATAACAAAAAATGTTATAAAATGTAATGATTGAGACATCAAATTTGAATGATTTTATACATATAAATTCGATAGTCCCAAAAACACATGTCTTAATGATATTTCTCTATTTTTTTCTGGATTCAAATTCTCTAACTTTGAGAAATGAAAGTTACGGCAACTTAATGCATTTAAACCATTAGATTTATAAAAATAAATCAGATTGTGACACGTGTACGATATATATTTTGATTTAAATGTACACGTGTCACAATCTGATTTATTATTACAAATTCAATGGTTTAAATGTATTAAGTTACCATAACTTTTCCTCCATAAAGTTAGAGGATCCATTTCCTTCTTTTCTCTCTTTACCCTCCCCACGTACCCAATCACACTCATTTTTACACTTGTCAACACATTTAGTCAAACAAAAACACATGATGACACATCTTTTTTTTTTTTTGAAGGGAACAAAACTAATTCATTTCTTTCATAATAAGAGAAGTAATACATGGTGGAATAAAATCAAAAGTGTGGGGACTAGCGTATGATCTTGCTGCCCTTGCTAGGGAATGAGCAACATGATTTGCTTGTCTCCTAATAAACCTAACCGAGAGGTTTTTATGAGAGGCTAAGATAGATCGTCCTTTTTGGATCAGAAGACCATATTCAGATAAGAGTTGATTAGATCCATGTAGGTCATCAACCACTGTTTTACAGTCAAGTTCAATTAGGACGTTCTCATAAGAAGAGTTTGTGAGCCAAGACATAGCCTCAATACAAGCTATAACTTCTGCTTCATGTCGAGGTGAGAGTCCATGATACCATCCCGTGGTTGCTGCTTTGAACCTTCCATGGTTATCTCGAAGGCAAAAAGCGAAGCTATAACTGTTTGTGTCTTTGAAAATTGCAGCATCAGTGTTGCACTTCATGAAACCTGGTTGTGGCTTGACCCAGTAGTTAGGTTCAGCAACCCGTGGTGATGGGGCTAGGTTAGTTGTTCTTGCGGCTAACCATTCTTCCAGACGTTGTCTTGCGAGGAAAATGGATACTCCTATAGGGCTGGAAACATCATTCCAGAGCTTATCATTTCTTCTACGCCAGATGCACCATAGTAGTGCTAATAGTTCTGTTGCTTCCTTTGTATCCAAATGATTTAGGAGCTGAAAAACGGTGTCTGTGGTGCCTTCACCCTGCTCTACAATATTTTTTATCTTATCCCACATACCCGAAGATGTCCATATGTCTTTTGCAGCTGCACATGTGAAGAATACGTGCCACTCATTCTCTAGTTCTGAGTTGCACGAGACACAAAGCGTGGTGCATGGCACATGCTTACGTTGCAAATTTATTCTTGTAGGTAAACATCCACGTAGTAAGCGCCATAGAAAGATCTTCATCGTATGAGGGGCTTTCATGTTCCATAATAACTTCTAGTTGCCTGGAGTTCTTAGGTCGACGTTTGAGATGGTGTGCTCCGTAAGGTGATAGTAGGCTGATTTCACTGTATATATGCCTTTCCTATTTAGTGTCCAAGTGACCATGTCTGGCTTGTTTAGGTGAAGGAGGGGCATAGTTTGAATGGCTTGAAGGTCTTGCTGGTGAAAGAGAGCAGATAAAGTTGGCAGATCCCAGCGTCCAGTGGAGAAATCAATAAGGTCTTTTACCATGAGGGATTCACTCCTTGGGGGTGTGTGTGAGGAGATGTAAGGATTTCCTAACCGGCGCAACCATGGATCTTTCCAAACATTAATGCGAGTACCATTCCCAACACACCAACGGATTCCTTTCTTGACTATTACCTGTGAAGCAAAGATGCTACGCCATATGTAGCTTGGGTTGTGGCCTAAACGGGCCCCCAAAAAATCCCCTTGAGGGAAGTATCTGGATTTGAAGACTCTTGTGAAGATAGCATCGGGGTTGGTTAAGAGTTTCCAACCCTGCTTCCCTAGCATAGCTAGATTAAAATGATGACACATCTTTAAAACCATTTTAAGTTATTTAAACAATTTAATATCTTTATAGTTTGTTTTCTTATTATTTACCAATGCAATATTGCACTTGTTGTCTTATTAATTTTTTTTTTCCAGCCAACTCATAAATATTCCATAAAAAATAAAATAATTATCTCTGTCCTTTTTATTTAATAATAGAAAAAATTTAAATATTCATATTTGAATGCAATTAATTTTTTCCTGATAAATTGAGTTTTGAATGTATAACTAATATTTCAAAAGTCAATTTTTATAATACATTGTTTTTTTAATGAAATTAATATTTTCCTAATTAGTTAAGTTTTGAATATATAATTAATATTTCTGACGTCATTTCTTAAAATATATTTTATTTGAATGAAATTAATATTTCCCTAATAAATTTTTCTTATTTCTTTAATTTTTTTCTAAATATTGATAGATGATACATTGTAAATACCTCTATAATACAAAAATGTATAAAACAAAAAAGACAATAAGGCTCTTTAGTTGTTGGTGTTGGCCACTTCACATATGCATAATGTGGTTGGTGTGGTGCCTATAAAAGCCAAAAGGGTGTGAGGTGAGAGTTCAAAAAGTTTTCTTCTATGCAATGTGTTAAGTTGAATCAAGTACCTCAAAATCTACATAATCTCTAGTGCCTTTCCAATGATCCTAGCCACACAACCATTTCTACGACACCCTTGTCAAGATCCCCTCTCACCTTTTTGCAGCAAATACTTCGATTCAAACTCCAACACAATCCTTAATATTCTTGGTATGCGATCAAAATCGCTTTATTATGAGAATTGTTGTAATTTTGACTATATAGGTTTTTGGTGTATTAATTTCAAAAGGGTACATCTTTTATATATTTTTTTTATTATTAGTTTGTTAGATTCTAATCGAGATTGGAAAACAAAGTTTGATTTCGCTTATCATTTTTGGTCGAGGTTGTGGTTCAATTTGTTGTTAGTTTTAATTTAATTGCACTCTTAAAATGTATATTTTGGAATGCTGTTTTAATCAAGCGTATCTGAAAATTTGGTAAATCGAAACCAAAATGGAATATTGTTTAATTTATTTATTCATGTTGATATTATTTGAAGGTATTGCAATGAATATCAAGTAGCAATTTCAAAGTTTCAACCAATCGAAATTGAAATCCCCTTCAACCAAATTTGATAAAATAGAAACTCAACTTCGCGAATATGGCTATAACAACACAATGTTGGAACAAGATCACCTTAAAAGATCAAATCCAACGTATTGAGGAACAATTTCAGTGCCTTGATGGTAACATTAAACATTTCAAGTAAACCCTTTTGCGTCTTGAAGGTCACAATCAACCTTATGAGAAAAAAATTAAACAATTTGATATGAATCTAGAATATTTGATTGACACTCATCGATAAACGACCATACCTAGTTCTTCAGCTAGTTTGAGTGTGATTGTTGATTATGCATGTCAATTGAACTTTGTGAGAAACTATTTTGGTGCATTGATAGGGAGATAAAAGGTTTGGCTATTGAGTTTCGTATGATGAACAAGTTGGACATGTTTCCACCACAAGGAGCTTTATGAGGATGACAAATTGGACATGTTTCCTTATTTTATTAGTTTGACTCCGTTACTCATTTTAACTTTTAATAAAATAATAAATTTAGTAGCTATTTTCCTAAGCTAGTGTGTTTGAAAAACTTTTATATATAACATATTTCTGTTTGTTTATATATGTGTGGTATTTATTATTTATTTATTTATAATTTAAAGAAGTGTGTTTAAGTTATAATTTATAATTGAATTAAAATAATTATAAATACCATTTTAAGTATTAAAGTACAAATTTGCACCGTTTGAAAAAAAAATGTATGAGTTATTGTATTAATCTATAATATGGAGGCCTATCAAATATAAGTGAAGAGCCAAAAACAAAGTTTGAAGATTTAAATATGGTATAAAAACAAATGAGTAAATTAAATTATTTGCATTGAAATGGCTACAACGAATAACTATATTATCCAAACTATCATCTAACCTTGAAGATACAAATAAATACATGGAAGGAGGTTGAATGTGTGTAAAGTTTTTAAATTTTTTCTGGTAGAAAATAAAAAATAGTTTGCAAGCAGACTTTTGTCTAACAAAAGTGTAGAAAGTGAAAAAATGAAAATAATATTTTAAATTTATATATTGATTCACTCACATGTTATCTTTGAACTATAAATATCATACTAAATTAGAAGTTTTTACAACATAAATGTTATTATTTTCATTTTTAGTTTAAAGATGCAACTAATTATTATAAGTATTATTTTGTTGGCCTATTCAAACTTATTAGGTAAGTAAAGTTTTTAGTGTTCCAAAATAACTCTCATTAGGATGGTATGTAAGTTAAGTACACTTAGAAAAAATATTTGTTAAGATAAGAATGTTTCAAACTTAAACTTTTTTCATGATTGTCTATTGGACGAAGGTTATAAGACTTGAAGAAATATTGTCAAAATTTAGAAACAATAAAAACAAAGTTTGTATAAACAATATTCATAGAATTCTCTTATTTTCTTGGAGTCTTCTTATATATATAGACTTTATAAAGATATCTATTAAGGTGAGAGTCTTGCAATAATTTCTTTATTGAATATGATATTATCTTCAAGTTTTAGGATTTTCATAAATATTTTGACATGATAAAAAAATGAAATAGAATAATCTCAACTAAACACACTTTTATAGATACTTTCAAATTGCTTTTGTAAGTATTAGATAAAGAGATTGACTTACAATTTATCAAATAGAAAAATATTTGTTATAAAAACAATTTGTGTGCATTGTTCTTATATTGACGTAGAATTTTGAATGACTAATTTTGAATTCTTTTACTTTCAAAACTAAAGTCCTAGTGACATGCATTTTCTCACACAAAACTAGTGTTTTTACCCCATACATACATTTAACTCTAATCTTTTACCTTCATCTTTCTTTCTTTTTCTATCCCGTAGCATCCCTTACCCAAAAGATCATGCAAAATCCATAAAACACGAAGTTTAACACATCAATTGCAACAAGTTCATTTAGTATTTTGAAGTTGCAAGCATGCCACGTGTCTCCTTAAAAAAAAAATATAAAAATAAAAAGTAAAAATACGGTTTCAACTTTCAAACGCGAAACTTAACTTCTTAGTTCTTACAGTGGCGAGAGGTGCGTGCGGTGTGTTGTCTTTAAAAGGACAAAAAGAAAAACCAGAGACCAAACTTCAACAGAGAGAGTAGTGAGCCGGAAGCAGAAACAAAACAACTAACTCGCGAAATGTCGAATTTGCCCCAATCGCTGTCCATGGGCGCGGCCTTTGGCGGCGGAGTTCCGCCGCCGACCTCGAGCGGCGCCGGAGCACAGGGTTCCGGCGCCACTAAGGATCGCAAGATGGCTTCGGCGGAGCAACTCGTCCTCGAGCTCAGCAACCCTGAACTCCGAGAAAACGCGCTCCTCGAACTCTCCAAGGTAAACCCTAATAACCATTTCCACTTCCTCTTTCAAGTTTCTGCTTCAAATTTGCTGCATTTTAATTGTTGTCACGGTGAATTGAAGATTGAAGATCGGAATATGCGTTTTTGTTTTTCTGAGTGTGTAGTTTGGGGTTTGTTTGTTTTATTTATTAATTTAATTTAATTGTTTGTTTGTTGTGTTAATATAAATTGAAACTTTTTGTTTTTGATCTTGGTGTGTTAGTTAACAGTTGAGAATGAGATATGATGTTCATGGAGTGTTTACTGTTTTAAGGTTTGCTTTGGATGTTTTTTTCCCCCTTTTAATTGATGTGTAGCTGTCGTGTGTTTATTGAAGCTTTTTTCCCCTTGTTTGTTGTTTCACTCTGTGTTTTTCTTGTCACTTCGTGTTTTTGTTTGGGAAAAAAGGTAGAAAGGGGGTGTGACCGGTTTGTATGTGTTGAACTGGTGAGAGTTAGTTTCATGGATTTGGCGTGCTTTATTTAGTTACTTTTTGTCGAGTTCAGCGGCATGAAGGAGATATAGTTACTGAATGCGGTGGGTATTCACTTATTTAACTTTGAATTTGTTTTCTTAAAAGTAAGCAGAATTGAGAATACGAAACTCAATTCCTTCTTACACGTGGGTAGGGGGTGTTAGATGGTTGTGCTTTTCTAATCTCGAATATGATGTGGATTGCTGAAGTTAGGAAACCTACTTGAGAAAATTGAATGAAAGACAATGGTTGAAAATGACCGGTGTTGTTAGGACTGGATTGAGGAATTGATCCTTTTGCCAGTCTGGTCACACTTTCTAAACAAAAAGTGGAAATCTGTCATCCCGTTTGTCCGGGATTCAGCTGTCTCTTCTTAGCTAGGTACTTCATCTTGCTTCTCAGCTTTTAATTGGAAAACTGTAGGGTTGGAAGAATGGGGAGTGATTACTTTACCTGGAACAATGTGAGCTATTTTTCTCTTTTAGGGGGAGGAAGGGGGGGGGGACACTTTAGATCTTTGTGCTTTCTGCGCTCTAGCCTTGGCTTAAGTATAGAATTAAAATAAGGAGGAAGATGAATAGTTTTTTTTCCTTTTACTGTTTTGGTGGAACACTCGGGTGCAAACTTCAGGGTAAGGGAGGGTATTGTTGTCTGGTTGAGTGATAGGGGCTCCTTCTTGTTGCAGTATTAGGATGAGTTACAGGGCAAAAGACAAACTTAAAGGTAAAAAGAAACCTAATAATATAAAACGTAGTAGGTGTTTATTTGAAATGAAGCCATACGTTGACTTGCTCAGCCTTAGTAATATTCAAGTCGTATCAGGTAATTTTTGTGAAAATAAATTAATGGATGCCTTTTGGATATGTACTGGAATGTATTGAATGCATATCCATATCAGATACTCGCTAAAATGACTTCTTTGTCATAATTTATAGACCAGTAGTCATATATGTACATAATTCTTGGGACTCAATTGGTAGCTAGTATAATGAAGATTGGATTGGATAAGCTGTCCTTTTTTATTTTAAGCAACTCTTGATGAGGAGCAAAGACTGTGGTGGCAACCTGCAAATAATCCAACACCCAAGTCACTACGCATTTCAACAAAGTGACAGTAAGATAAGCAAAGAGTGTGAAAATACCCAAGTCTATGCATTTCAACAGAGTGGCAGTAAAATAAGCAAAGAGCGTGAAAATACCAAGTCAGTATGCATTTCAACAGAGGGCTGTAAAATACGCAAAGAGCGTGAAAATACTTGAGGGTGATACCGGAGCTATTGAGTGATGTAAAACGTGAAGAGCAAGGTTATCGATAACGGATAACGGTCTATGACAGTGAGCTGAAAATCTTTTATAAACATATGGTGAACAAAAATAAATTAAAAACAATAGAATATCAACTTAAATAGTTAAATATCATAACAACAATACCATAATTCATTAAGTCTCAAACATAATTGATTAAAACACAACAATAATGCTAAAAATGACAATGTTTCCATCCTATGTCTGTCCTCTTAATATAGTTTGAGGATGTTTGACTTTGGTTTGGGTTGCTAGACATTGTCCTAAAAATAAGAATAGGAACAATACCAAAATAGGAACAGAATGTTAGAACTAAAAATAAATTCACAAACGCACTCACAAATGAAGAATGGTTGAAGGAAGAAGTAGAAAAAAAAAGAGAATGAAAAAATATGCATCAACAGACACAAATGAAGAATAGATGAATGAAGAAGTAGAATAAAAAATAAAAAAAAAAAACTTGCTACGTTTCTCCAATATGTTCGCTGGAGTTGCTTGTCGAAATGTTGGGCCACTGTGGTTTAGTTTTTTAGGTTGTCGGCCGCAAAGGTAACCAAAGAGCAGTGATCAGAGTTGAACGAAGGTGACCAGAGAGGTTTACAAACCTAGGGTAGATTCCGTGTGACCTCCTCTTCAAATGCGAAACTTTTCGACTATGAGGGAGAAGTGAGACGAGCCAAAAGACATAAGGGCTCCATTTGGGCCTAGGTTGAAGCCCAAAAATATGTTTTTTTAAAAAAAAAAACCGTCATGACCGCCATTTAACTTGTTGGGTTGTGTGGGTTGAGTTATGTGGATTAGCGGGTTGAAAAATAGGATCTAATCCTATTTTTAAGCATTTTGAATTTTTTCTTGTAATTTCATATTTCATGTAACCATTTGCCACATTAGTGTCAACAAAATCATTAGATTTTTAATGGTGGAACTAAAATTGCACACAATTTCAATACTTGAGGATCAAAATAGCTTAAAACTCAGAGACAAAATCACATAGTTACAATATTAAGAGACCAAAAATATATTTAAGTTTGAATTTTAACTTCATGTTTCTTTCTTTGTCCCTATAGTAACATCCCTTACACAAAACATCACCTAGAATCAATTTAATCACGTTAATCACATCAATAACACATCAATCGTGACAAATGCATTTAGTATTTTAGGTGCATGCCCGCAACGTGTCCCCTCCAAAATAATGAGAAGTAAAAATAACGCATTTAGTATTTTAGGTGCATGCTCGCAACGTGTCCCCTCCAAAATAAAAAGAAAGGTTTCAAATGCGAAACTTATCTTTTTTTAGTGGCTTGCGGTGTACGCGGTGTATTGTCTTTAAAAGGAGAAAGAAAGAGAAGAGACCAAACTCAAACAGCGAGTAGTGAGTTAGAAGTAGAAACAAAACAACTTGATTGTGAAATGTCGGATTTGCTCCAATCGCTATCGATGCGTGCGGTCTTTGGCAACAAAGCTTTGCCATCGGCGTCAAGCGGTGCCCAAGCACAGGGTTCTGGCACCACCAAGGATCGCAAGATGCCTTTGGCAGAGCCACTTGTCCTCAAGCTTAGTGACACTGATCTTCGTGAAGATGCGCTTCTTGAACTCTCAAAGGTAAACCCTTATAACCATTTCCACTTCCTCTCTCTAGTATCTGCTTCATATTTTCTGCATTTGAATTGTTGTAACGGTTTATTGAAGATCAGAAGATCCGTTTTTGTTTTCCTGAGTGTATAATATGGTTTTTTTTTAATAACTTTTTTACTGAATTGTTTGTTTGTGTGAATAATTGAAACTGTTTTCTGATTTTTGTGTGTTAATCAGCGGTTGAGAATGAGATATGATGTGCATGGAATGGAGTGTTTACTGTTATGAGGTTTGCTATGGTTTTTTTTTTTTTTTTGTGTGTAATTGATGTGTAGTGGTCGGTGTTTATTGAAGCTTTTTTTCCCCTTGTTTGTTGTTTCTTTCTCTGCTTTCAACTGTGTTTGAAAGAGGCGTGATCAGTTTGTATGTGTTTAACTGGTGGTGGTGAGAATTTAGTGTTTTATTGTTTCCTTTTTGTTGAATTCAGCAGCATGAAGGAGATGTTATTGAATGTGCTTGGGATTCACTTATTTAGCTTTGAATTTATTTTCTAAAAGCATGCGAAATTTTTAGCATACGAAATTCAATTCATTTTCACACGTAGGTGGGGTGTTAGATTGCTGTTATTTTTTAATCTGGAATATGATGTGGATTGGTGAAGTTAGGAAACTTACTTGAGAAAATTGAATGAAAGACAATTGTTGAAAATGAGTGGTATTGTAAGGACTGGATTGAGGAATTGATCCTTTTTCCAGTCTGGTCCCACGTCTAGACAAAAAGTGAAAAAACTGGTCACCCCATTAGACCGGGATTCAACTGTTACCAGCCACTTCTTTGCTAGGTACTTCATCCTGCTTCAAAGCTTTTAATTGAAAAACTGTCGGGTCGGAAAAATGAGAAGGATTACTTTACCTGGAGCAATCTTTTTTTATTTATTTATTTTTTGTGGGGGGGGGGGGGGTGTTGGTTTGGAGCTTTGTGTTTTCAGCACTCTAGCCTTCTAGCATAAATATAGAAGAAAATAAGGGAGGAGGGAGATGAATAGTTGTTTCATTTTACTGTTTTGGTGGAACATTGGGGGTGCAAGCATCAGGGTAAGGAAGGGGATTGTTGTCTGGTGGAGTGATAGGGGCTCGTTCTTGTTGCCAGATTTGGATTAACTTACACGGTAAAAGACTAAAAGGTAAAGGTAGAAAGAAAGTTGTTAATTATAAAATATAGTATGTATTTATTTGAAATGAAGCCATATGTTGAGTTGCTCAGCCTCAGTCATATTGGAGCCTTATCAGGTATTTTTTTTGAAAATAAATCAATAGATGCTTTTTGGATATTTATTGGAATGTATTGAATGCATATCAATATCAGATATATGTTAGACACCAATGCTTTCTGCATGTTTGGAATATTTGGGCTTCATAGAAAATGACTTCTTTGTCATAATTTATGGACCAGTAGCCATATATGTACATAATTTCAGTTGGTCAAATCTCAAAACCTTGGGACTCTTTGGTGGCTAGTACAATGAAGATAGGATAGGATAAGCTATCCTATTTTATTTTAGTCTATTGTTTGGTGAGCTAATAGGATATGACAAGTTTATTCTATCGAGGACATAGTTGAAATTATCATGTGATATGGCTGGGGTTAGAAAGAATTAGGACAGGATAAACAGATATTCCCCCTCCTTCTCAACCTAAACACCTTTTTTCTGAATCACAAACAAGTACTACTAAGCTTTAGCTAACCACCAAGTGGATAGTGGTGTTTGATCTAAAATCTTCAGCATGCTACTGGCTTCCTACCTGGTAGTCTTGGAGTTCCTTTCCCTATCTACCATTTTAATCATAAATAAAACTCAACTCCTTTCCCAGCAGTGGCACTATGTTCAAAGACAGGCATCATAGACTAGGGGTATAAGCGGGTAGAAGCTGACTGACTTTACTAAATCCAACCAATATGGAAAAAAATAAATCACTCATTGGAGGTCAAACCTTATCTACGATATGTCTTGGGTTAGAGAATTTTTAAATTTATTATATATATTTTAAAGTAATAAATAAATAAATAAAATAACTTTAAACTAGTAATAAATAAAACAATTTATGATAATAATAAATAATGGTACTCTAAATAGTTTTCATTTATTACTTTTAAATGAAATTATTATTTAAAATATTAGCTTCCACTCTATTTTCCTTTTATTTCTCTTTTATCAAGCAACTTTTATTTTTACTCTATTTCTTACCTATTTCGCTAATAAAACTCAGTATAATTAAAACTGATTTTTAAGATTAAGATTTGTTAGAACTTAATATAAAATCAAATTAAAGATTAAATTTGAATTTAAATAAATTCAAATTTATTCTTACCTTTAAATTAAAATTGAATTTATTATCTTTAAATTCAAATTTAATCTTTAATGATTTTATACGACATACTCATAGCAAATAATTTAAATTTAAATATAATAGTAATTACTATTATTTAAATTTAAATTAAATGGTAATAACACACTATAATAACTATAATATAAAATAATTGTAAAATCTTAAAGTATCAATCTCACCCTCATAAATTTATGTAATGAGGGAAGACAGAAATATAAAAAGTGAGTTAATTGAGAGAGTGGAGAGAGAATGTGACTCGGTCTTCAGAATGAGTTCCTAAAATAAATATATACATGCATACACACACACCACACACATATATATATATATATATATTTATGTGTGTATTATTTTTCTTTTAAAAAATAATTCCTCATCCTTGTATCTTTATTGTATTGTATCATGTATGTGGGCTTCTCAGCTTTGAGATATTATTCCTTAAGTTCGTAAATCATGCTTTCATTGAATTTTTTTATTTCTTTCTATATGTTTCTAGTTTTTGTTGTTGATATAGGCTATTACTTTTTGTTATATTCTGCACTTATTTTAGTATAGCTGTCATACTTCCACAATAGACAACAATATCATCCTCCTTCATTTTAGGGCTGATTTTTGGTTTGGCACCATCCACCATTAATAACATTTGTGGTCACTTATTTTCTTACTCTATTCAAATTTCAGTTGTTAACTTCTAGGCACATAGTTTTCAGTACTTTGTAAAATGTCAGTTTTCATTATGAGAGTTCTTAGAATGTGGGTTATAGGCTTAACTCAACTATACAAAATCGGCTTTCATACTTCCACAATAGACTACAATGTCATCCTCCTTGATTTTAGGGCTGATTTTTGGTTTGCCACCATCCACCATTAATAACATTTGTGGTCACTTATTTTCTTACTCTTCAAATTTCAGTTGTTAATTTTTTGGCATAGTTTTCAGTACTTTGAAAAATGTTGGCATTGCGAGAGTTCTTAGAATGGGGGTTATGAGCATAACTTAACCGTACAAAATTGGTTTATAACGTGAAGGTTGCTCTTCACTTATAACTCTTTAATGCTTTACTTCTAATCGATGTAAGACTTGAGTTTTTTATCCAATACACCCCTTAAATTCAACATTATTGGGTTTGATACGTGAATAAATGGTAGGTGGCCATTTTTATTGATTTAGGATAGGCGGGACTTGAGTTTTTTTAATACACTCTCTCACGTCTAACACTATTGGGTTTGGTACATGGATCAATGATTGGTGATTCTTTTAGAGTAGATTCTAGATAGCTCTATACCATCTTAGAATGTGGGTTGTGAGCACTCAATTGTACAAAACCAAAACCGATTTATAAAGAAGGGTTGCCCCTTCACATATATACTCTTTAATTGCATTATATTTAGTCGATGTGGGATTTGAATTTATACTAATACACCCTCTCACGCCTAACATTATTGTGCTTAGTATGTAGATAAATGGTAGGTGACCTTTTTTAATGATCTAGGATAGATGGGACTTGGGTCTTTCCCAACAAGAGTTATTTACAAGATGTAGAATTTTAATGCCTTTATTTGATAAAGGAAAAATAGAAATTCTTTTTCTTATCAGGTCAAAGATGCTAATACGGTATTGGGTATTCATTATCCAGAAATAAAAAATTTGCAATCGGGGTCAGCTACTACTTAAGTGCTCTTTGTATCCCCCGAATGTTCTGTTTTATTTCTCATATTGGGAGTTTAGAGAAAAATGCTGTGCACAATAACAACCACCAACAAGGCTTTTCCCACTTGGTGAGGTCTGCTATATGAATCAAATGATGTCATGTTGTTGTATTGTTAATCATGTCATAGATTAATACACACTAACAATATTTAGAAGTTATGATGTTATTTATCAGAAGAACACATATTAGAATAGAGCACAAAGGGTTCCTAGTTCAGATTTGGAAGAAATATATTGAACCAATGGGTTACTAGTTCATGCTGGGTTGAACTTGGGTTCATGATGGCTTTGATCAAGTAGCAGACGTTGGTTTCACTGTGTCTTTGATTGAATTGTGAAAGCTAGGTTCTACATAGCTTGATGATGGGTAAGCTGGGTAACCAATGGGTTGTGCTGAAACTAGGTTCAAGAGGGATTTGAGTTCTTTCTCATGCCTTTCTTTCTTTGAGGCAAACCGCGATTTTGACTACCATGGTTGCAGCTAGACTCATGATTTTGTGCGAGTTTCATCAAATCCACTTGAGTCCACCAAGTCTATTATAAAATGAGTTTCCAAGTTAGTTAACTTGCGAGTTTGCAGCTTCCCATTTTACTTCAGTTATTTGTTTTCTCTATGCTTTTTACAAGCTCTTTTCTAGTCTTGGCTTTTAATTATTGCAATTGTATTGTGATTTGGCTTGTTTTCTCTTGTAAAAATGTTTGGTATTGCTGATGCACTCAGGCATGTTATCAATATATAATAATAATTATATATATTTTTTTTTGTATTTTAGAAGAGGGAGCTGTTTCAAGATCTTGCACCATTGTTGTGGAATTCTTTTGGTACCATTGCTGCACTTTTGCAGGTATGCTATTTTTTTTTTTCATTTGATTGTCTCATCCTTTTGATTTGAAATGCTATTGTTATCTGACTTGAGTTACATATTCCTTGCCTGTATTGTTTAGCATACTTTGCTTTTAATCTTTGTTGTGAATTTTTACTTAGCAAGTCTATACAATTTTGAGCTTATACATTTCTCTTTTCTCCATATTGGTTTTATTACCTACCAATCCATTTTGATTTGTTGTATCTTTTGATAAGTTGATGTCTTTACTTGCTTCCAACTGTTTTCCTTTGTGAAACCAACTTCTATTTTTCTTTTTTCTTTTTCATAAAAAAATTATGGGAAGAAGTAAATTGTATTGTGATATAACTCAAAGCTTGTTTAAAATTGTTGACTCTAAAACTTCTCTTTTCTTGTATAGAAGTAAATTGTGTTGTGATATAACTCAAGACTTGTTTAAAAATGTTGACTCTACAGTTTGGTCATAGACTCAGCTAAGCCATTCATGCTTTTGGGAAGTAGTAAGCTTCTATAATCTCAGCATACTCTGCAAACTGCACTTTTACAGTGCATTTAGTTCAAAGGAGGGAAGAAGTCTCCTTGTTTGGTTGGTTCAAGAGAACAATAGGATAGGGAAAATATGGACAAATATACTGTTATACTCTTCTAAAATAATATTGGACGAGATTAAAGGTAAAATAAAATCTTAGGGAAATTTAGTTTCCATAGTCCAAAATTATAAATTGCTCTTCCTCTCTTCCATATCTCCCCAATATTGAAGGGTTTAGGGTTTAGGAAGGTAGGAAGTGCAGCCCCTTCATTTCCCCTCCCTCCAAATTTATGAACCAAAAGTAGGTAAAATCTAAAAGAATCCTCCCCTTTCCTTCATTTTCCCCCAACCATACCAAACACACTATTAGTTGTTCCTCATTTCATTTGAATTTTACGTTTTATAGTCTCTGGGTATGTGCATTGTGCTTTCATTTTCTCCAGATTTAATTTGTATTTATATTTTGTATTTGTATACATTAATGTCCTTATACAAACTTATATCTCATTTCATTCCTTATGTATTGACTTTTGTTTATTGTTTTCTAATAGTAAGTTTCCTCTCAATTGTCCTCCACCTACTAGGATTTCATTTTTTTTTTGTTTCAGGAAATAGTTTCAATATACCCTGTTCTTTCACCACCAAATCTTACTCCTGCACAATCAAATCGAGTGTGCAATGCTCTTGCTCTTCTTCAGGTCGGATGACTCTGTTCTACCAAGCTGTGTTCAGTATTTTAATGTCACATTCATTTTATTTGTCGGTGAATAAGTTCATTATAGGACTGTTATATTTTAGATCACTGAACTATGCAATTTGGGCTTTCAAATTATTTTTTAATAAATTATATATAGAAATGTAAAGGATGTTTGATAGTTTTGGCACACTAGACAAAATAAGGTAAGGAGTTTGAAAAATTGGGATAGCACCTAAAATGGTAGTCTTGCCTTAGGTAGGCAGAAAAAATAATAAGTGAAATCATTAAAAGGATTTTGAAGTTGATGGTTTATCTATAGACAATTAGACATGATTCACAATACAACATTGTCGTTGGCCAAAACCTGTTTTTTTGTGGTAAAAATGTCAAGGAGGCATAACCCATATAAAAAAAAAAATGCCAAACTTGTCAGAATAACCTTTTAAACCACATTCTGACTAGATTCCGTTGCTAATGTGCTCTGTAGTGGCCAAAAAAAGCTGTTAAGTGTACTTGAATCTGAATGATTTTCATGTTATTGAATTGATGGATACAATAAAATAAATAGGCATAATCAATCCCTAAAGTTTAGGGATTTAGATAAAACTGACTAAAGAAATTAAACTAGAAATTAGGAGAGGATAAACTAGTATATTAAACTATATCTTATAGAATTATCTTAACACTCCCCCTCAAGCTGGAGCATATATATCATATGCATCTAGCTTGTTACATATATATGTTATCCTAGGACTTTGTAAAGATTTAGTAAAGATATCTGCAAGTTGATCCTTGGAGCAAACTGAGGAAGTTTTGATGATACCGGAGATGATCTTTTCTCTGATGAAATGGCAGTCAACCTCTATATACTTTGTTCTCTCATGAAAAATTGGATTAGAGGAGAGGTATAAAGCTAGGGGTGTGCAAAAAATCTAAATTGATCCGAACCGATCCATATTGAAAAATCCGATCCATTTTGAAAAAAATCCAAACCGAACCACTTTATAAAACCGATTCAGTTATCCGATCCATTTTTACAAAGTGGATCGGTTCAGTTCGGTTTGGTTTTCTAAAAAACCCGACCCATATGTGAGTAAAAAAGTAGATAACTGCACCGCACCAAACCGATCCAATTTCAAAAAAACCGATCCAAATTTTAAAAAATCAAACCGATACACTTTATAAAAAATGGATCGGTTAACCGATCCACTTTTATAAAACGGTTCGGTTCGGTTTGGATCGGTTTTTTCAAAAAACCGATCCATGAACACCCCTATATAAAGCTGATTGGTTATCACAAACTAGTTCCATATGACCAACCTTGCAAAACTGCAATTCTTGAATTAAGAATTTTAGTCACAAGAGCTCACATGTGGTATGAGCCATAGCACGGTATTCTACTTCTGTACTTGATCGTGCAACAACACTTTGCTTTTTACTCTTCCATGAGACAAGATTACCACCCATGAAGACACAATAGCCTGATGTTGATCGTCTATCACTTGCATCACCTGCCCAATCTGCATCTGAATATCCAACAATGTCTATATGTCCTCTATCATTGTAAACAAGTCCTTTTCATGGAGATCTTTTGATGTATCTAAGGATTCAAACAACTGCAAGCCAATGACTCTCACAGGGAGAGTTAAGAAACTGACTTACAACACTCACAGGAAAAGATATATCAGGTCTGGTCATGGTGAGATAATTCAATTTTCCCATTAATCTCCGATATCTTCCTGGGTCAAGATAAGGCTCTCCCTGATTAGGCATAAGCTTCACATTGGGATCCATGGGAGTGTCAACTGGCTTACAATCTGTAAGTCCGGTCTCTTCTAGAATATCAAGGGCATATTTTCTCTGAGGACTTTGACTGAGCGACCTCAATACCAAGGAAATAACGTAGGGGACCTAAATCTTTAGTTTGAAAGTGTTTAAATAAATGTTGCTTCAAAGCCTTGATGCCCTCCTGATCATCACCTGTAATCACAATATCATCTACATAAACAACAAGATAGATAAATCTATGTGTCGATGAGCATCTAAAGAAGACAGAGTGGTCTGCCTCGCAGCGGATCATTCCAAATTCCTGTATAACTTTGCTAAACTGACCAAACCAAGCACGAGGTGATTGTTTGAGGCCATACAAGGACTTTTGTAATTTACATACAAGACCAGACCCCCCTTGAGCAACAAACCCAGGAGGTTGATCCATATAAATCTCCTCCTCCAAATCACCATGTAAGAAGGCATTTTTGATGTCTAATTGAAACAAAGGCCAATGCCTCATAGCAGCCATGGCTAGGAAGAGACGAACTGAGGCCATCTTCGCAACTGGAGAGAAAGTGTCGCTGTAATCCAAACCATATACTTGCGTGTATCCTTTAGCCACAAGACGAGCTTTCAATCTATCCACTTGTCCACCAGGGCCCACTTTAATATTAAATACCCACCGACAACCAACAACGGATTTTCGAGGTGGAGGTGGGACAAGTACCCAAGTGTGGTTGGAGTCTAAAGCTATCATCTCATCAATCATTGCTTGTCGCCATCCTGGATGGGTTAAGGCCTCCAGTACTGTCTTGGAATGGTAATAGAGGAAATAGCAGATACAAAAGCATAATAGGTAGGAGACAAATGATGATATGAAAGAAAGTTATAAATAGGATGAGGATTACAAGTAGAACGACTACCTTTAGAAAAGTAATGGGAAACTCTATGAAGTTTACGTTTTACATCTACATTAGAATCTACCAAAGAAATGGCTATTGAAATAGATATAGAGCCTAAGTTCAATGAAAAACGTAAAATTCATAGGAAAAAACATTTTGATGACATTGATAGTGATGAGATAGCTCATTCTGTTGAAGATTCTTTTTGCATTGATTATTTTTTGTATATATTACATCAATCTATTTCTTCTATTGAGAGTTGATTTAAACAATTTTTAGAATATGAAAACATGTTTGGTTTTTTATTTGATTCAAATAAATTTAAAAACTTTAGGGAAAGATGAATTGAAAAAATATTGTATCAATCTTGAAAAGATTTTGAGTTTTGAGAACCATTTTGATATTGATGGTCTTGATTTGTTTTTGAGAAAAGATCATGGACAAAACAAGTACAACCAAAGACACGAGGATGAACAGAGTAAAGGGGATCCAATGGGTATAATAGGGAATGAGGTACTTGATCATTCAAGACAGACGATGGCATTCGATTTATTAGATACCCTGCAGTGAGGACAGCATCGCCCCACAACTTTGGGGGTGCATTGGCATTCAATAAAAGAGTACGAGCAGTGTCCACAATATGTCTATGTTTTCGCTCAGCTACACCATTTTGTTGAGGTGTATGAGGGCAACTAGATTGATGTAGAATGCCATGAGAAGCCATAAATGATTTGAAGCAATCTGAAAAATATTCTTTAGCATTATCGCTTCGTAAAATCCGAATTACTTTGCCAAATTGAGTTTTGATCTCCGAATAGAAACTTAGGAAAATATTGAATAACTCAGAACGATTTTTCATCAAAAATATCCAAGTACATCTAGAAAAATCATCAATAAAGGTGACGTAATACCTATGCCCCAAAAGAGAAGGAACACGACTAGGACCCCAAACATCAGAATGAATAACATCAAAAGGAGACATAGCTCGAGTATTAACACTATTAGGAAAAGAAGCTCTAACATGCTTTCCTAATTGACACGACTCACACTCTAAAGACTCTAACCGTGAGAGATGAGGTACCATTTTCTTTAATTTATTCAAGCTTGGATGACCCAGGCGACGATGGATTAAACCAGGAGACTCAATAGATGCACATATGGTAGAGGTAGAAGGCTGAAGGTAGTAGAGACCATGTGATTCAGATCCAGCTCCAATCGTCTGTCCCGTACTCTGGTCCTGTATCAAGAAAGAATCAGAAGTGAAGGTTATGACACAGTTTAGTGACCGAGTCAACTTACTTATAGAAATCAAATTAAAGGGACATCCAGGAACTAGTAAAACAGATTTTAATGGTAGTGATGGAAGAGGTGATATTTGACCAATACCAGTGGCTTGGACTTTTGACCCATCTGCAAGAGTGATATGATGTGGAGTTTTAGGTGATGATAGGTTATGGAAAAGGGAGACATTACTAGTTAGGTGATCAGAAGCACCGGAGTCCAAAACCCAAGGTCCAATAGACGTAGAATGAGAGAGACAGACCGTAGAATTACCAGTATGAGCAACAGTGATGGAGGAAGGGGCCTGTTTAGTCGCCTTTAGTTGAAGATACTCTTTGTAATCATCGGCAGATAATGTGATTGGATAATTGCTCTTGGGTTCAATCTTGACTTCTAGAGCCGAAGTCAGAGATTGAGCGACTTTAGCTGTCTTGCTCGGAAAGCCATGCAAGGAATAACACTTGTCTCGTGTATGCCCATCTCTTTGGCAGTAGGTACAATGGATGTTTCCTCTACCCCCTTTACCACGAACACGACCTCGACCACGCTCTCGACTTCCACAGTCAGTTGATCTAGGGATAAAAGCAGGGGGTGTGCCATTCTTGGAAATCTCTGCCATGAAGAGAAAAAGGAGAAGAACAGCAAAAAAACATCTCCAAACAATCCCGAAAGACCTCCGAGACAGCAACCATACAGTCTCAAAATTCCGTGGCAGCACCCAAACAACCACGAAATTCCAAGTAGCAACCAAACGACCACCTACAATGTGACCCACTACCTAAAAAGGGTTAGAACAAGAAGAGGGAGGGCCAGCGAGTCCAACGGTGCAAACGGCGTCGCAAACGGAGGCCTGGAGGGCTGCGCGTGAACCCCACGCGCCGACGAGCTTTTCTGACAAAAATCGCGCGTGAGACGCCGGTCTGGAGGCGGCTCGCGACGGAAAGGCCGATCGGCGACCTCTGAACACTCAGGCGGCGTCAACTCTGACAACCGCTAACAAAATTCGAAAAAACCCTAGATGCCTTGGTGGCGGCTGGGTTAGGGTTTCCAAACCAGGACCAGAATGCTCTGATACCAACTTGAATCTGAATGATTTTCATGTTATTGAATTGATGGATACAATAAAATAAATAGGCATAATCAATCCTTAAAGTTTAGGGATTTAGATAAAACTGATTAAGGAAACTAAACTAGAAATTAGGAGAGGATAAACTAGTATATCTAAACTATATCTTATAGAATTATCTTAACAAGTGTGAACCATTTCCTAACAGATAGAGAATTCTTGTTGCATCTTACATGATGTTGACTTGTTAATCAGCCTTGGTCAATGTATACTATACACAAATACATGCAATTATATACACATAAAACACGCCGTAACTCTCAAAGTAAATATCAGCTTTCAAACATGCATTTATCTATTACATTTATACTGACTAATATCAAAAGGTCTTTAACAGAGTATATTATGCAAGACAGGTTATTTTGTTTTTGACAGGACAAAAGAACATTGATGACTACTGTTTTTTAAGTTTCTTAATTCTGAAAGTCAGTTGCTTAGAAAATTGGCAAGCCATGAATATTATACTTTCTGTGTGATCTTTTTGTCATATATATATATATATATATATATTTTTTTTTTTTTATCCAAAATATGTTGTGAACTTGATTAACAAAAATTGATGCTGCTAAGTTTTTTTATCCCTTGTAATTTTTTTTTCAGTGTGTAGCATCTCACCCTGATACAAGGATGCTTTTCCTCAATGGTATTGTCACTTTCCTCATTCATCTGAAGGACTTTGAACTTTTTTCTGATTTTGTATTGATCACCTTTGTGTTTCATGGTCCGATAGTGGTTGAACTAGCTTATTCTTAAATTAATCATTTTCTATTTTCTCAAGTGCTTTAGAAGATGCCATCAACATTTCTTTTAATTTGTTTTCTTAGAATGTGGGTTTGGGCCAAATATAATTATTCAACGCTACAAAATTGACCTGTTAGGCAATGGTTACTCTCAGCTTATAAACATTATTTTGTGCATATCACCTATCAATGTGGGAGTTGAGTTTTTTCTAATATATCCTTCATGCCTAACACTGTTGGGCATTATGTGTGGATAATATGGTAGGAGGCTTGTTAATGGATATAGGATAATACCATCTTTGAATAGTTTGAGCCTAATTCAACATTAAAAAACTTGTAAGGTAAGAGTTGTTCTCCATTTATATATACTATTTTGGCTTTCTCACTAGTAGATGTGGGATTTAGGGTTTTCCCAATATGGTTGATGTCATCTGGATGAATTGGATAGTTTTTATACGATCAAGGTGAGCATTGTAGGGACAAAATACAAGTCAAGTTGATGAGCTAAATCATAGACTGCATAATATATGGGTTTGGGATTTAAGGGAGGTTGATTGAATTTTCAATATTTTTCTTTTGGGTATGCAAGAATTGTCAATATTAGCCTTTTAATTTGATTTCTCTTTATGATAAATTAACTGCATAAACATATGAGCAAATTCTCTTTTGCATTTTTAATTCCTTCTGCCACTGCAATATAATGCATATGTTGGAATTCCTGTTCGCTGATTGCTTTGGCTTAGTCTTTTTTTTTTTTTTTTTTGTTTGATATATAAGATGGTTTGAAGGATATTTATTCTGAATGACATAAGATGATCTTCTGAAATTCCAATAAATAGCTTCTATGAATAAAACCGAATTTTGTCATTGTCTTTCTCATGTTAGGACTTCCTGCAATGCTTGAAAATGGAGTTCCTTTCTCTCACCAACTATAGGTCATAAAACTTGACTTCCCATTTTAGCTGTTATAACTTCCCCATGTATTTTTTTTCCTCCAATATCTATACACTTCTAGGCTTTTTAGGTTAGAAGCATTTGGTTTATATGTTACCTTTTTTATATCGAATAATAAGGAAATTTCTTTGAGGTCACTATATCCATTGCAGTTCTTGCTCGTTGAAGGATAGTACATGAAGTGTTTGATATTTCATACAATTGTTGCACTTGCTTTTTCTCCTCTGCAGCTCATATACCTCTATATCTGTATCCATTCCTCAATACAACAAGCAAGTCAAGACCATTTGAGTACTTGAGGCTTACCAGTCTTGGTGTCATTGGTGCATTGGTGAAGGTATTTCTTCCTTGCTCATTCTGTTGGATATCTACAAGAAAAAACAAAGTTATACGGCAATATTAATGATGCAGAAATTATATTTTTAATCTTTAGAAGGTATCGTCACAAGAAAAAAAAAAAAAACACTGTCGAAAAGATTTATGACCAAAATCCTTGACACAATTCTCTAAATCCAATTTGTTAGGATGAGTTCATCACTATTATCAAGGAACAAATTACAGTTCTCACTATTTATGTTACATTATCTTTGTTTTTGTTTTGGTAATCAATATTTTATAATCTTGTGTTTTTGTCAATTGTGACAATTTTTTTTCCGGCTGATTTTTATTCACTAGGTGGATGATACAGAAGTTATAAGTTTCCTTCTTTCAACAGAGATAATTCCTCTGTGCTTGCGCACCATGGAAATGGGCAGTGAACTATCCAAAACAGTTGAGTTTACCAATTTTTTATTCTTATTCTTTGGTAAACTTGTGCCATTACATCATTTGTCTGATAAATTGAATTTAGTTTCCATTTCTTCATATTTCTTTGACCACAATTTTCTGGTTTCTGTTTCATCTACATGTATATATGCATTTTTTTTTTCTAAGTACATATGTATGTGAAGCTATCTTGCACATTCCAATATGTTGATTAAGGAGATAGCATAAGATACATTGATGCAGGAACCCTTACTTGAGGAGACTGCCGATATCTAAGAGCCTTATTTTGCCTTTTGAATAGTTGGTTTCAATTTAAGGTTTTGGCTATTGTCATGGGAATGTTTGAATCCTGGCATGATTAGTTTTCTCAAGATGTATTTGGGCACTCGCATCTGTTCTGTACGAATTCAAATACAGTTGATCTTTAAGCCGGATATTTGACACAGGGTTCCCAGTTTGTGTTGTGGATGTCAAAGATATAAGCTGGATCTCCTGTTTTCTGTAGACGTTAAGCCACTTGATCTTTTTAAATTGTGACTGTTGATTTTTGATCATCTATATGTTCATAAAATAATAGTAAAATGGAGCAGGGTTCTCTAATGAAAACTCTCTCACCCCAGGTTGCAACATTCATTGTTCAAAAAATTCTGTTGGATGATGTGGGCTTGGACTATATTTGTACTACAGCTGAGCGATTTTTTGCGGTAGGTCGAGTTTTGGGGAATATGGTGGCAGCCCTTGCTGAGCAACCCTCATCTCGACTGTTGAAGCATATCATTCGATGCTATCTTCGCCTGTCAGATAATCCAAGGTCGGTTAAATTTGCAACTCCATGATTGTTCTTTCTTCTCCCCTTCTACCTAAATTGCCACTTGCCATGCCCTTTCTTTAAGATGTAAATGCAAATTCCACTCTAATTAAACTTTGATCTGGTTAAAACAGAGCTTGTGATGCATTAAGAAGCTGTCTGCCTGACATGTTAAGAGATGCTACTTTCAGCAGTTGCCTTCGTGTAAGTACTTCTAGTTCCCGTGATTTACAAATTTGATTTAATGAACAGAGTGAAGGCTAGATTAACTCATTGGTTGAAGAGATAAGTTGGCAAGTGATTGAAGTTCACTCTTTATAAAAAGACAACTTAAAATGTAGTTAAGTGTTTTTTGTGCAGATTATAGAAGCAAAACTCTAATTTCAGTTAGAGAATAACGTCAACAAAAGCACTTAAAAGCAGCTGCATTTAAGTTTGTCCTGTGCCAAAATTTTTTAATTTCAGCGCTAGAGATTTTCCATTCGCCCTCACCAGAATATACATGCTCTGTTTGTATACGTTATCTGGTCTTGGTTTTGTTTATTCAGGAAGACCCCACAACTAGGAGGTGGCTACAACAATTGCTTCACAATGTTGGAGTGAATCGGGTTCCTGCACTACAAGGTGGAGGAGGTTTCGATCATATGATTGTGAGCTGAGTATAAACTATAGATCTTGGTTCATTGTTGCTAACATCTCTCTGGGTCCCGGTTATATCCATATTTTATGAAGCTTGGTTGTTCAGAGGAAAAGGTTGTATGTAGTTGTTGGTGCATGGAAACCAAGTTAAATGACCTTTTTTAATTTTATTTTTATATTTTAATAATTTGTATGTATCCAAAAGATGGTTCTTCATAACCCTTGAGCCGTTGTGCGGTTAACCTTAGATTAAGACATGGGTTTTACTCCTTAATGGAGTAGGTACATTATAGTATCAAATATTTCAACTAGTTATAGGCATTCTGGAAAGTGGGTTTTACTCCTTAATGGTGGAGGTACATTATAGTATCAAATATTTCTACTAGTTATAGGCATTCCGGAAAGTTGGCTTTTTATAAGCGTGATCCATGTTTTTGTTTGGTTTTTTTTTATTGGTATTAAAAAGTTTAGGTGAGATGTTAACATACAATTTTTGGTATTAAAGTGTTTAGGTGAGATGTTTACATTCTGCACTACTTGGTTGTTCCTGCTCTACACTTGATTTCACTAATTTATATCCATTACCAATTTTTTTTTTTGGTATTAAAAAGTTTAGTGTCTTGTAATTAGAAACAAAATAATCAAAATAAGGCACTAATTTGTTTCTTATAAATAGAAACGGAGCCCAAAACCTAGTCATTAAACATGGATCACGCTCTCATAATGGAGGAATAAAATAAACTCTTAAAAGTATAACGAAACCGCATCCGTAAACGGAAGTTAGAAGTTAGTTCAATTTAGATTAAGATATGCTTTTTTGAGGATAAATTGAGGTTAAAATTTAGCTGTTTTTATTTGAATATTATTCAGTCTTTTATTTTTTAGACAAAATGGTAGAATGGGAGCGCATCTCAACATTATCGGAGCGACATCATTTCTATGTTGGGATTGTCAACAGGGTACTATTTGCTGAAACAAAATTATTCAATTAGCTTCCATATGTCAAGGGATTTCCTTGAAGGACGTACAAAAAGTGAAATTTTAGTGGCTTCGGGAGGAATTGAACTTGCATTTATGTAGAGATTCGGAGGAATTAGAACAATTTTGAATACTTAAACTATTTGTATCAACCGTGTTGACTGAATCATGATCAGATATGTCAATTTAATCTCAAATTTTAGTTTTAAAACATTAATTTAAAGTCTTAAAAATACATGATAAATTTTTAAGTAGGTGTCTTTTCTCTTTGAATTTCTCATGGTTTAACATACTTGGGAGACATTATGACCAAGACTATATACATAAAGTAAGAGATATATGCTTTACCCACGTATCATGACCACTACCACTACTAAGAATATCTCTTGAAGCATAAATTTAAAGAGTCTTTTACCTTTGAAGGATAGGAATAAACAAAAGGGCTATGGTGTAGGTGGTAGAGCAAATGCATTTATAACTAGAGAGGCAATTGGTTAATTAAAACTCAAATATTTACCATAGATTGAATCTGTCAACAACTCAAGCCCTTGTGCAAAATTTAATTCTTATTCACATAAATATATACTTGTGGGTATTTAATAAAATACATAGAATAAATACAAAAACATCTCATAGATGTTTTAATCACTAAAAATGACAGTTTCTATAAAACAATTGTTCATTTAAATTTTCAATTTTCATAAATTGATGTGACTATACATAATCTATTGCCACGAACTAAAAACACATTTTTTTTTATATAATTTGCAAGATTTTTTAAAAAAGTTCATATTTTAAGCAAAAATATATTCAACCGTGAAAAATTATAGTGTAATCTAATGAACTAAAAAAGTATACATAAGTTCTAGCTCTATATACAGCGAAAATATTAAAGTATTAGTTATATATCTTGTATTTTACCATTCAAGAGAAATAGTACACAAAAAGGACTATTCATATGTATAAGAACTGCAGCTACATGGAAAACACCCGTATAGCTTGTATAAAACATGTTAGCCAAACCACGAAACATCATGGTTTTTTGTTCCCTTGGATTCTGACTGAGATTATGTTAAAACTATTTGTATCACTACGTAGTTACGTCTACTTGTTCTGTAAGTTGATGTTGTATTTCTGAATTTCATTCGTATAGATTTGCACAATAGTAGCTGCATGATGTGTCACGTTAAAGTAAATTTATATGCAATACCGCCAAAAGTTGAGTACGTCCATTCCAAACATTTGTGTAATTGTTTGATTGAGTTGAATGTGCACTCAAAATGTCGATCTATGTCTTCTAAGATTGACGGCTAGCTATGATTATGAACCTTCTTAAGATACAAGAGGAAGGGTCAAAAACTCAAAAATTTTATTGGGAAGAAGCTTTTGGAATCCCTAATGTTCAAAAACAAAGGTAATAATATTTTAGCAACATGGAAATTTGGTTTATTACCATAAAGTGACATAGTAGGTCATACTTGTATACGTTGAGGTAGGATCATAATCAGAAAATTTGGGTCTCTTTTACATAGCAAGGAAGTTAAATAATAGTGGGAATAATATTCTTTTTGGGTATCCAGATATTTCTGGGACCAGGATAAAGATTAATATCATGAAGCAAGAAAATTTATTTAAGGGAATAGATTTGTCCAAATGATACTCTTTTATCTACATGAATTTGAATATTAAACTCTAATCACATATTTAAATATCAATAATTACACATTTATTTACTGTATTCTTTTAATTAATTAAGAAAGTATAACTTTTTTTTTATCGGATTAATTGTTTTTGAAAAAATAAAATAACATATACAGTTACGACTTCATATTTAAGTTGAAAATCAAATTACAATTTTTGATTAATAAACATAAATATTCAACTATTTATGCCGGGATTTATCTATTATAGTTTACATAACACAATAATATTGATCGGGGAATTATGTTCCATAAAAAATCAGATAAGGATGTCATGTGACAACCTTTTCTATCCATAGAGGTGACATACGTAACGGAGCAGGAGTGGAATTACTAGTGTGAAACCAAAAAAAGAATAATTTACATTTTGTCTCATGACCACATCATTATCTCCCTAATGCCCACATATGAAAATTGAAAAGCTAAAGGCAATTCAACCTCATACGAAACATATACATATGAAATCCAAATAAATAAATAAATAATAAAAGGAAAATCTGAATGAACATTCCAGGCATCTGACCCCACAAAAACACCTAAATAGCATAGTATTTAATACCTTTCTTTTTGGACAGAAGAATACAAAACTCTGCATTCTTTATGACTTGTCAATTAAGGTTACAATCTACAAATATGTTGGAAAAAAGGCAAATATTTTAACATTGTAACAAACATAAAAAGTTAATTAGAAAGGCTTATTGCATGTTTGATTACATGTTGAATCAAAGTAAAAATCACATTTAAAACGTAAAAATTATAATTGATAGTTTTTATTCTAACATGATAAATCACGTTAAAAATCTGAACCAAACACATTATTAATAATTTGAATTAAACAATTTGATATAATTCACAAAATAAACCTGAATTAATTCACATTCTCAAAACTTTTTTAAAGATCGTAAGTTCAAATGTTAGAACAAGTCCCTATGTTGAGTTCTAGTGTTACTCAAGATTAATTTGGATAAATATTTTTCCATTATATATATATATATATATATATATATATATTTATCAAGGGAATACTAGTCTTCTGATTAACCCATATAAAATTTTGTAAGACTACTATAACTCATGACATGAGTATAATTTTTCTCTAATTGGTTTTTTATTAAGAGATTGAACTGAAGACTCCTAGTTGAAGTAGAAAATTCTCCTATACTACTTAATTGATCTCTAATTTTTTTTTCTTTTTAATATTTCATAAGGATTATCTTTTAAAGGTAATCTTGTTTAAAGTATACTATCAAACATTAATTAAATGTATGTATCTCTAAGCAATATTGCAATAATTCGAACTTTAATTCGTTACAATACGTGAGATTGGTTTCTTTTACTAAACTCATGTTTGTTGTCACTACATATTTGATTGTAAATAAAAAATAAAAAGTATTATGAGAAATAAAAAAAGAGAAAATCATCAAAAAATTTAATTGAGTTTTTATTATTTTATATTTTTACCCTTATAATATAATTATAACTTCTGTTGTAAGTTGTAGGTATGAAAGGGTAAACTAAAATTAGTATTAGATAAAATAATATATCTATTTAAAATAAAAAATTCTTACAAATTTTATCATGTTGGATACAATTTCTAAATATAAACAAAGCTCTTGAATGCAATTTAATCCCTATGCTTTAATTTATGCACAATTTTGGTTTCTTTAATTTTAATTATTCGCATTTAATCTTCATAGTTTCTTGATAATTAAAATTAGGTTTTGTATCATAAATTTCATGGTTTCATCTACAATAGTCATGCGAAGGATATAATTGCAAATGAAATAATATTTATGGTCTTTATACAATATAAAGAAATGTTGTAAATTCCTTGATGAAAAGATTGACAAGGATATGATGTGTAAAACATAATTAGGGATGAGACTCAATTCCACATCAATTTGATCATCAATGGTGGAAACCTGATTCATATTTGAGTAGCATCAAGTCTCGAGTTGAATGAATAAAGTACATTATTAAAGTCATTCAAGTACTTAATAAATAGGTTTTAAGAGTACTTGTACCATGAGAAAATAAAAGGGAAGATATACTATGTATGTATTGAAGTGTTTATTATGGGGCACTTCTAATAAAGTCTACCTTTTTGAGAGTGAATTGTGGTTGCTTCTTAGAGTTAAAGGGCTTCACTCTTAAAGCTCACAAGAAAAGGATACCCTACACAATTCTTTATCAAATGTGTCATTTTTACAAGTTGTTAAATGGTATTGATTAAGATTGCATACATAAGTTACGCATGCTTATATAATTATAGATTAAATAAATATTCACTTTTCACGTCCCATTATTACGGAATAAGTAACAAATTTAATAAACATATTATTAGTCAAAAATTTTACTTAGACTTATACGTTTTTAATTCCTCAAAATGTTAAAAATTATTGTTGGATTCAAGAGGGGGTGAATTACATCTTAAAATATTTTGTCAAAACTTGTAGAAAGTATAATTTTCTGGAAAACTTTTTCACTGCCACCTTGTTAAAATTTACTAAGACCAAATCGATTTAGCCTTTTTAGGAATTAAGATGTTGAATGTGAATAATGCAATTTTGTTAAAAATTACCTTCTATGATATATATTAATAAAGATGAAAAAGAGTATGATCAAATACAAGATATGCAATCGAGAAATTAAAGTAATAGAAGGGTAAAGAAAACTTGAACCCTAACTTTTATACTAATTTGATCACTACCTCTGTGAACTATATCTAATTTCCCAATCAACTGGTTGAGATTCAACTATCCACCAATTTAAGTTTTACAATCTTAACTTACATGTAATTTACTTGATGAGAAAATCCCAATTATGGAAACCCTATCAAGAAATTCTCTTGTAAAAACCAACTATAAGAATACCTCTAAAAAAATCTAATAGTGTGTTTGGACGAAAAATTTTATAAATTCAAGAAATTTGAAATTTTTGATATTTGAATTATTTTGATTTCAATTTTTAACATTTTTAAAATATTTTGTTTAGATAAGTCAATTTAAAATTTTTTAAATTTTAAATTATTAGGTTGGATACGATAATTTAATTTCACCATGATAAAATTAATTTTAAAAATATACTTATATATTGAGATTTTTAAAGTAAATTTAATAAAAATAAATATTAGTTAATTTTTAAATATTTAATAATTTTAAAAATTAATATTAGATAATATTTAATAGTTTTAAAAATATTTTTGAATATTCAATAATTAAAAACATGAAGAGATAAGAGATGAGATAAAATCTATAAGTGAAATAAAAAGAAAAAAAATATGAAGAATTTCATATTCTTACTTTTTTGGAAAAATTTAAAATTATATTATTTCAAGAAATTTTACAATTGCTTAAATTTCAAATTCTTTTTAAATACTTCATCTAAACAAGATATTTCACTTAAAAAAATTTAAAATTTTTTAAATAAATAAATTATCACAACAATATCACCGGGATGGCAAGCTACACAAGTAATTGAAAACCCTTATCCTGTTGTTGATTTTTAACTTCTTTGTAGATTGATGACTTAACCACTTTAATCCATGATAGAAATTATGAGGATTGAGGACCCTTGTTAATGAAACATCATTTTAAAATCAATTAATATTTCACAACTTATTTAATTTTTCCTCGAGAGTGATGTTGGATCATGTAGTCTTGAAAGACTAAAAAAGATTTTGCAAAATTATATAGGCTAAAAATAAATGTTAAGCGACAAAAAATATTTGAAAAAAAAGTGAGAAAGAGAATCAAACAAGTTTTTGAAAACTAACAAATCTTTGAAATGCTTAGAACAGTGTGTCTCCTTAAAATCTCTTAGCTAGATTCAAGTATTGTAAATTGAATAAAAAAAAAACGTCACTAAAAGAAAGACCCTATTAAAAGTAGCAAATTAGGTTCGCCAAAAGATAAGTTTTCAACAAACTTAATAAATGTATTAAAGAGATAAAAGTATTTAACCCACATATATTTCATCCTTTTGCAAATAAATAGCACAAACTTTAAATTTATTTTAATTAATTATTAAACTTTGTCTTACAAGTAAATAGACATCATAAACTATTAAATTATTAAGATAAAAAATACCATTCATTTATTTATTTTAAATCACTTATTTATTAATTTTCTAGTACATATATATTAATTTTATTTTCATATATATTAAAATACCATTTAATTTAGAAGAAGAAAAAAAATAAAGACTTTTTTTTATTGGTTTTTTTATCATTTTTTTAAAATTTTTTTAAACTCGTATTTTGATTATATTTTTGAAAATAAATTGTAATATAAAAAGAAAAAAGATCGGTGAATGATTGATATTTAAAATAAATAATTTAACTATAAATTGATAAGATAAAAAATTTATAAAAATAATAAATTATCAAATTTTAAAATCAATTAGAATGAAATTAAAATTAAAGGTATTTATTTGTAAAAGAAATAAAATTTAAAATTTAATCGATATAAAATTAAAGTTCATAATGTCTATTTATAAATCAGATAAACTTTAAGGATTTATTTGGATAAACTAAAAGTTTATAGTGTCTATTTGTAAAAATATAAAATAAAATTTAGGATGGTTGGTTAATTTTTTTTCCTATATTAAATAAATTTTTTTTGAAAAGAAAAAAAAAAACTCTTGAAAAATTAAGTTATGGTATGGAAAATTTAGAACTCAGACCCACATGTATTCAATTATTCAAACAAGCATGCATCCTGTGCACATAAGAATTGACCATGAACCAAAAATAAGCAAATGGGAGCTTTTCCGTATTTGAGCCAATGTTTGTTGGTGAATTTAACTTGGGGACCAGATTACCAGAACATGGTCCCTGTTTGAACATTTACTTGAGTCATCAACTATCTATTGTACAGTTATTAAGTTGGATGTGACAGATTCTTAACCACAATAATATGTGATCTCTGTCATAGTAGAATCTAATCATCTTTCTTTTCTTCCAATGGAGCTGACTACACTTACAATTTTTCTGCCCCTTATTTTGGGTATGAAATACCACTTTTAGAGTTCTTCAGCATAATTTGGAAAATTAATCCAATAGCATCATGCCTTTTGCATTATGATATATATTCCTCATTGGCCACTTCATCAGTCATCACATGACTTCAGAAAAGTAGCATAGCAACTCAACTAGTCATAAAAAACCTACTACTCTTGCATGTTTTTAATAGTGAACCAACCTAACAGACTCAAATATAGATGATAGGACAAGTACAAACATATGTCTGATTTGTATAACATCATTCAGGACTTCCTCCTTTTTCTTTCTTCTCTTTTGAATGAAGAAATCTAACATCACCACACTAGAATCCTCTTAACTGTTACTCTGATGATGATGCTAATTAGGAAACAGACCTGAACTCTGATTTCAAGAGTTAAAATATGTACAAACCCAATAAAAAAAAAAGTTTAATTACCTTTCTTTTTCTTTATCTTATAATCTTTGTATTTTTTTTTCCTTTTAATCTCTATCTGGTCTATTTTCATAGAGACAAAAAAATAAAATAGTATATATAGGAACTAAAATAAAGTATTTTTAATTAAGAAAACTAAAAGTTAAAGTTCATGAAACTAGAGAAGAGTAATTAAGAAAAAATTAGATCAGAATAATAAGGTTTCTCATAAGAACCATTGTTATTCTATAGAAAGCTAATGCATTCATCCTAAAAGGCTTTCTGATAAATCCAAGATTCCTCACTTTGCATCTTGAGTTGCTTGTAGAAGTTCCCAATGAATGCCTCAGCTTTTGCAAAGAGTTCTTGGCCATTAACTCCTCCAATTTCATCTTCTGCTTCAAGCTCTTCATCCATGACTTCTTCACCAGCTTCTCCACCCCCTATGAAGAAAAGGCTAGTAGGCACTGAAGGACAATTTTGCACCTTGTCCACTTTGGTGACACAAACACCCCTCTCAGATGCAGACTTTTCAACATGTTCTGAGACAGCACTAGCAACCGAAGGGGTGGAATTGGAAGCTTCTCTTTTCTCAGAAGTGGCTTCAGATGTAACAGAAGAAGATTGCCTTCTATCTTCTGAAGGGCTTGCAAAAACTGAAAGGAGACCAGCTTCAGCACAAAGTGCCATGATGAGGAAGTTTGTGATGAAATACAAGTAGGTTAGCCTCAGAGAGGAAGGTAAAGAGGGTGTGATGAGAAGAAGAACTACTAGAACAAAGAGCACTAGAACTTGAGATTTCTTAAACTTGTTCATGGCTTTGGCAAATGAGAGAAAGAAGAATGATGAATGATGAGAATGAACAAGAGGTAGTTGGAATTGGAAGTAGTGGGAATAGAATAAGTGTGGGGTTTCTGAATATGCATATATATAGAGGACATGAAAGTGGGGTGAGTGAGATAAATGAGGGTAAGAGAGAGAAGGAAAAACCATGGAAATTGTGTATTAGATGTATATACCATAATAAAGTCAACAAAAAGTACTAATAAAATTGTGGGTGCTGAAAATTCTAAGAAAATTCTCACAGCGGAAAGAAACAACTCTGTCAATATATGAAAGTAAGAAGCAATATAATAAAGAAAGTAAGTTACCCCAATGATCTCAAGTCTTGACATTTTCTGAGAGTGAAGTGAATTCAAGAGATGAACTATATACGTGGATAATACAAAGTCACCAACCAGTAACACTTCGTTAGTCATAGTCATGAACAAAGTCCAATTTTTTAGGTTTCAACTTGATTAACGTGTAGTGAGGCAACTTCCACATGCTAGATAGAAGTGGTTCTACATTTCAAATCAAATTAGTCGCTTAGTACGAATTAAATAAGGATAAGTCTACTAAAATATAAGCTAAAAGAAACTTCATTATTAATTTTTATAAAGTATAAAAATCACATATATTAACCAAAAGGAAAAAATATTAATTATTTTCATTTTAAAAAAAATTTCTCAAAATTTATTTTAGATCACACTTATAATTGAGTTGGCATGTATACAGTGACATGATTCAACCCGAAAATAAAGTTGAAATTAAAATCTTGTCATTTAGTAACTGCAGTGCCAGAATGCATAATTTTTGTCCTGTCCGAATTGGATTAAGCTGAATTCTTGGCTGAACTCTCAGGTTTCCTAGTGACATTGAGCTGTATGATAAGGCTGAAACATTGTGAAAAAAAGGGTAGAGATCTATAAAAGAATACTTCAACCCCCTTATAAAAGACTGAGACACTTATAATAAATGTGTACCTCGTACAATAATGTTAGTTGCATTTCTAAGAGCTTAGAATGGGTTGAATTTCTTGAGGTAATAGGCTAAAATAATGTTCATGACTCGTTATAGGGATTTGGCCTTAAGCCTAATCCAAACCAATTTTTAAGGTGCATTTAAGTAAATACATAGTTTGACATTGAACTTCACCAAAATACGTTAAAGTTTATATTTATAGTTTCATGAAGATATTGAAATACATTAAAAACAAGTTATATAAAATAGTAAAAAAAATGTTTTCAAAATTCAAATAAATTCTTTAAAATTTAAACAGCAATTCTGAAGCATCGTAAAAAGGAATATCTAAATCTTATCTATGGCAATGTCAGGTAAAGCCAATCTCATTGCAGATAACAATTTTGAGGCTGACCAAGATCGATATCACTTTAGCTTTCCTTCTGCTTTGTGTTGGCTTAGGTTGTGATTAAGTCATTTATGTGCATGACCACATCAGAAAGAGATTATTGTTTAAGATTGAGAATTGGCCTTTGCCTTTAAAGTGTGACAAGGTGACGTTATAGCCACGTAGGGACAAGAGACAATAAATTTTAATTATTGGCCTCATAAGGTCGGTAAAATTAAGCATATCCAGAAATTTATGCCAAATGTTATCAATTCATTTTTTAATATTTTTTTTCTTCATATTTTTGTATTTTCGTGTGTACATTAAAAAATATTTTAAATTATTGAGGAAGTAAGAAATATGGTACAATAATTAAATTAGCATTTGACGTGCGAAAAAGTTGAAACAAGATGTTTTATTTTGTGTTTTTTCATTTTACTATTTTTAATAAGACCAAAATGTGTAAAACCTTTTGAATGTTGTTTAATTTTTTATCTTAAGATGCACTAAATATAAATTAAAACTCATTTATTATATTTCGTTATATTTTAACATGCTTACCAAATGTTCCCAAGAGTGTGTTAGGAAAATGATATGTATGTGTTGGAAAAGAAAAATGTTCCAAAGTGTCTTACATGCTTTTATTTATTTATTTATTAATAAAATGATAGATATAGGAGATGACACCTTCAAAACTACTAGGTGATAAAGAGTCAATTGCATGTTAGAGATTCTCAAATCAAATAGTATTGTTCACTTACCAATTGAAGTTTAATAGTGTTCAATTTGACTCAAGACTTATCGAACTAACAGTCAACAAAGATCTATGATTGAAATCTCACCTCTATTGCTAAGACATCTCCTTAAATAGGCATGTTCACCAAAGTAAAATTTTAGTAATTACATAGAGTGTCAAACTCACATCATTAAAAATGCAAGTTCAAATCGAATTTTAAGCTATTTGTATCAACCCATAATAATTTATATATATACTTATTATTTAATTACGTGAAATAATTTTCTTGTACCATAGTTCAAGGTGACATATTAACTTTTTATTTAATTATGGTTAGGTGACATATTTTTATTTGAAACTAGAAATTAGAGAAATAGGGTTATACAACGCTAACAATCTTGTTGACAAAGATGCTTTTATACTATATTTATAGGACGTTTACAAATTAAACATCTACTTTAATTACTAAGTTAACTTCTTATATATGCACTTAATCTATTGATCGAAACTATAAAAACTTTCTAGAAAACCTTTATAGATTAGGATGTTCTCTATTTTGGACCTTCTGAGAATCTTTCTTTCTAGCCTAAGTAGCATTTCAAAGGTAGCCCCACTTGAATTAGTGGAGTTGTGGTCCCAGGCCCCACGGCTCAGAGGTTGGGTATTGTTCATGGTGTGGAATACATAGGGAACACGGTGCACCCACAAGAGCCCTATTTAAGTGGGAACCAACATGATGTTACCTCCAATCCACATCAATTTTTTTTTAATGTTTTCATTATAGGAGGAAAACCAAGATATTTATTATGAAAAAATAATTATAGTTTCAAAATTTTCATTTAGTAAAAAACTAACCGCCTACCTTATTTTGGAGGTGAACTTTTGGTAGAAAGAGAGATGTGAAATAAATAAATAAATTGAATTTTTGGTTTCTTTAAAATTAAAAATAAAAAATTTTATCTAACCATTAAATTTGTACACATATAGAGCATTCATATGAAAGAGCTTAAGTTTTTTTCTTTTTTTTTTAATATAAAAGAGCATCGGACTTGGTCCAATGAGTTTATAAAAATTATATGGATTTGATTTAGTCATATTTATGATTCTAAGTTGTTTGGTGTCATAATCTTAGTGTTGTAAAATCATAGTTTGAGGACTAAGAAGCTTGAAGATTGTCATTATTGTTGCATTTTTGTCTCTGAAGAAAAATTTTGTCTTGTAAAAGAGAGTGAGTTATAACGTTTAAGGTATAAATCAAATTGGGACAATGGAGGTGGCCCTAAACTTTGTAAGTTTTATCACTTTCTTTATTAATATATCTTTTAGAGATATCAATGTTATCATAATTGAATTGGTTATTCTGACGGAAATTTTTGACGGAAATAGGTAAATTTTTGATGGATTTTGCTTTTTCCGACGATTTCCGACGGATTTCAATCCGTCGGAAAAAGTGGCATCGGAAAAAAAATCCGTCAGAAATAATTTTTTCGACGGAATTTTTCGACAAAAAATTCCGTCGGAAATTTCCGACGGAAAAATCCGTCAGAAATTTTTGATGAAAAATCCATCAGAAATTTCCGACGGAAAAATTAGTCAGAAATTTCCGACGGAAAAATCCGTCGGAAATTGCTGTCAAAATTTCTGATGGAAAAATCCGTAAGAAATTGCTGTCAAATTTTTCGACGGAAAAATCCGTCGGAAATTATAATTTTTTTTTAATTTTAATAAATTTATTAATGTAACAACTCTCATATTTGGCCTCTCAAGGGTTCTATTTCACAATATTTCACTGTTTAGCGTGTTTTATTCTTACTTGTGCAATTTCTGGGAGACTTCCCAGAAGGTCACCCATCCCAGTACTACTCCAGGTCAAGCACGCTTAACTGTGAAGTTCTGATGAGTAAGCTACCGAAATGTCTATGTATGTTGTCAGTATAACTTGTACAAATTAATTCATTTAAGTCATCCTCAAATATACAATCTCATATTTGTACTATAATAATAATATATAATAATTTTATATTACGAATAATAATAATAATAATAATAATAATAATAA